AGTTTTTTTTTCCATTAGATACTGCACTTAGCTTTAAAGTTTATTTTGGTGCCTATTTAAAAAAACAATTAGTACATGAATTTGACTTTTAGTATTCACTTTTAAAATCAATTTGAATTGAAAAAACCTAAGTTTAAGTGTTAATTTAAATAAAAAAAATCAAGTACCTAGTCATACCAACAACAACAAAACAACTTATAATTTGAGATGTCTTTGTTTGTTCAACATGAGATGCTTTTAAAACTCTCCAGTGTTAAAGAGAGAACATAAAGCGGTCTCTACTAGTCATTTAGGGATGGCTTCGTCCGTCAACCATAAACAACCTAAACTGGAGTACTTCACTTATTAAAAGACACGGAACTCCGTCCAAATTAAATGAGATGACTTTGTAAAAACATGAATACAATGGTTTACTAATAAAGCTAAACCTAAACAAGACAATTGATGGATACCCTCCAAGTAGATATGACAAGATAAACTTAGATTATCAGGAACCTAACATTATCATCTTGCATCCTATGTATCGAATAGTACATTCAATCAAAATTCAGATATTTGTTATTTTAGATAGAAAAAACTTTTAATCACTCAAAATATCGAACAGTCTTCCCATATCAACTATTGATTTGTTGAGATTAGCCTCTTGTGGTTATTATTTTCCCTCTATCTTCATACATTACACGGTAAAGAAAATCTTCTTTTTTCTAAGCAAGAAAGTTAATCAAGAAACCATACAATTAAGATATACACCTCTTCTTAGCCTATCCTTCTCTGAAGAAGAAATAAATTAATCATGAACCTCTTCTTAGCCTATCCTTCTCTGAGACCACTCGGCATCAGAGAACACCACAAACCTCATGACTTAGGATAGAGCATGGCATAGTGATTTGTATGCATCCACGCACTGCTTAAATTTCTCTGCCCATCTCCTGCATACAGCTCCACTAAATTAAGTACAAATTCACACACAATGACGACCCAAAAAAATGTATATGATAAAACCATAGATTAAATCCATAAAAAAATTGTTTGGATTTGGATGAGCAGCCAATAATTTTCTTTTTTGAAATTCTAACCTACCTGCAAAGGACCTTGATGCTTATCAGGATGCCACTTCAAAGCTGATATGCGGAAGCTGCAACGACAATTTTAATGACTTTAGAATACATGCATGAAAAGAACTGGAATAAGTGGGAAACATAAATACGTAATGTTTAATCTTCAAGATGACAGGCCTCTCAATATCGAGTTCATACGCGTTCTTAACATCTTCAATCTTTAAGGGGCCTGTTTGAGGCAAACCAAGGATTTCTCTATCAGAACATGATCCTACAGAATATGGCTCATCATCCTCATCAGACTCGGCATCACTAGCACCCTCCCACCCTCTCGTTCTTTGATTTGTCCAGCCTGATTTTTCTCGCCACTCAAATCCAGATTCTGGATTCTTGAAAGAATGACCTTCCCCAGAAGACCAAGTATACCATTTGTTCCCAAATTTAGATTGGAAGATTCTCTCAGGATGATCAAATTCCTCAGAGAACTCTCTTTTTAACTTTCCTGGGCCATGTAACCAAGGACAATAAAGTTTTCAAATGCAGAAGCAATTTCTCCCATAAAGGAGGCATTTTTTCAAGTTCATTTCGAGAAACAATAAAGAAGGAAGCTCACTTTTAACTTTTTTGTGGTTAGATTTCTGAACATGTTGTCCAGAAAACCTTGACCGCCGCTTCTTATCAGAACCATCTGAATCCTGGCCTTCTGTCCCTCAAATTTCCATTTTGGAACTTCATCCTGGATAAAAGACAAAGGCATAACTTATATTATATTTCAGGTACTAATGAAAAATGTAAGCTCATCTTTTGGTACACTGTAACACAGAAGATACAAGGCATTCAGGTTTTATATACATCATTTGAGTCCAATGGTTTCCAGGTAAATAAATAAAGTCTGGCTTTATGTACGTTTGAGTCAAACGTTTCTTGGTAAATAAAAAAATTCAAGCTTTACATGCTTATTAAGTCCATTGAATTTTAAGAAAATTCAACTTACCATCACTCATCACAAAACAACTGCACCTCAGTTTTTCAAAGGCCTAACTTAATCAAAAGCTTCTACTATACCTCAACACTAGATGCACACTTTATGGGAATATTCTATGAACCATAAACTTAAGAATTTTTATTAAAAATAAATGACAGAAATGCCAATAACGAAGACACTAAAACTAATTCCAAGGCTTGCACCTAAAATTGGAGTAAAACTATAGGTGTCAAAATATTTCCAAAATTGAATCATTGGTCCATTATTTCCAAAATATTTGAAAAACTCCTTAATAGATTAGAATAAGCAAATAAAATTGGAGTAAAACTATAGGTGTCAAACGGGAGAGTCGGGTTTGGTTTGAGTCACGTAACTTCAGTTAGGGAAGAAAATCGAGTTCCGCTCAGTTCAGGCTTAGGTTGTCTGGGTTCAAATTGTTTAATTTAAAGTAAAATCAGTTTAATGCAGGTTACAATTTTAGTTCATTCAGGTCAAAATCATCTCTGAATCAGGCTATTTTAGGTTCATTTGGATTGTTGACTTCTATGGTCAAATCAAGTTAGGTCAACTTCAGATTCCAGTAACTGGGAAGGTTTACAGGTTAGGGTTAAGTTTTGACAGCTCTAAACAAAAATGCATAAAAACCAACAATAATATACAATCTAACTACAATAATAACTATAATATAACAATACATCAGGAAGACTGAAGTTCAAATCTTGAATAAGAACAGGGTTCTACATCAAGCAGGAGTCCAGAAATGTTTACCTGGAATGAAACCTTTGAGCAACCGCTATTATGGAGAAGATGTTTTAGAGCTGTCTTTGTGTCAGCACGCTTTTGATGTACTGTATATCTTATGTAGTTCTGCAATAATGTTTGAAATATCAGAGAGCTTCTCTCTTTTTCTTTTCTTAAAAAAGAAAGAACAAATAAAGTAGGAAGGAAACTGCCAGAAGATGACAAAAGAGTTCATAACAAAGTTACTTAGGTAGTATGAAATTAACAAATAGCAAAGTAATAAGCCATTAGAAGATGAGGTCCATCATCTGGTCACATGAACATTCAAATAATCATGGCGATTCCTGTCCTGAGATGTACAAGGTGTTTATTGCATTAAAGATTGCTAGGAATGTTCCTGGTCCAAATATAGATAACTGTTTCGGCAATTGAGGTTGAAGAAAAGATCTAGAAATGGATAGTATAGCTCGAGCATACAGACTTGACCTGGAATTTAGTCTACTAAAAGTTCTGAACGATTACCAATCTAAAGACATTCATATGATATACTAGGAAGAAGATAATTAAAAGATGCATGCACTTAATTACACAAAATAGACTCCCAAAAACTGCATACCTTAGTTGTTTGTTGTTTACTTCTTTCATCCTGCAAAAAAGGTTTAATTGCTAAGTTTTCTCATCAATGCAAGGCATATACAATTTATCCGACTTCCTAAACAAAACAAAACAAGAAAAGGTTGCAATTGATGGTGCTCCAGAGTGGGAAAAAGGGAGAAATACTTATTCACATAGAAGATGACTTAGTTTGATAAGAATCAAGAACAACCAATATGGGGCAAGAGGTTGAAAATAGCAGAAACTAACAACATTATTTTACATTAGCATTCAGAGAAAAGGACGTCATGCCACAAATTAAAGCTATTCAAGAACTTGAAATTTCAAAAATCCTATTTAAAGCTATTCAAACTCACCCACAGACAGCACTAAGCAGATGAGAATATTTATTTTTGTATAAACCGCAGAAAAAGGAAAGAAAATTGAACTGACAAAATTCCATTTGCTCTTCCATTTTACTTAATCCCGGATTGTTGAGATCATCATTTCGCATAGGAGTTGAGACTCTATCCAAGTTTTTTTTGGCCTAATACCTCAAGCGAGTTAATTATTTAGGGTATGAGGTCAACATGGATTTTATTTTAGAAACTATGTGGGCTCAATATCCAATTTAGTGCATCTTGATCCAAGTCCATTTTAGCTCAATACCTTAAATAATTAACCCGTTTAAGGTTTTAGGGGGAAAAACCCTATCGATTCAATTTTGAACTCAAACAGGCCTTTTGTTTCGATCAATAAGCTCAATTGTTTTATCCATGGAGTCCAAACCTAATATCCAATTTATTGCGTCTTGGTTCAAGTCCATTCTAGAGTCACATTGGTTAGGTCGTGTGGGTGGGTTACATCATATGAGTCGTAGGATGGGAGTTACTTATATAGGGCTCTGCAATGGCCCATGAACAACAAAGGATCCAATCCAACACCAAAAATCCTTACTTTCTTCTTGAGAGATGCAAATTCTTTTCTTTTTACCACCCAAAGCTCCCTCTGTATCGATTCGTGAAGAGAGCGGGTTTTGTCTTGACTTCATCGATTATGCAGATACCCAGATGTCCAAACTTGTTGCTACTCAAGAATTCATTGCTTCTAGCTTTGTCACCATCAAAACCAACCACTACAATTGCTGCTGCCCTCGTTGCTTCGTTTCATTCTACGCCTGTTACCTGTGAAAAATGGAAGAGCAAATGGAATTTTGTCAGTTCAATTTTCTTTCCTTTTTCTGCGGTTTATACAAAAATAAATATTCTCATCTGCTTAGTGCTGTCTGTGGGTGAGTTTGAATAGCTTTAAATAGGATTTTTGAAATTTCAAGTTCTTGAATAGCTTTAATTTGTGGCATGACGTCCTTTTCTCTGAATGCTAATGTAAAATAATGTTGTTAGTTTCTGCTATTTTCAACCTCTTGCCCCATATTGGTTGTTCTTGATTCTTATCAAACTAAGTCATCTTCTATGTGAATAAGTATTTCTCCCTTTTTCCCACTCTGGAGCACCATCAATTGCAACCTTTTCTTGTTTTGTTTTGTTTAGGAAGTCGGATAAATTGTATATGCCTTGCATTGATGAGAAAACTTAGCAATTAAACCTATTTTTGCAGGATGAAAGAAGTAAACAACAAACAACTAAGGTATGCAGTTTTTTGGGAGTCTATTTTGTGTAATTAAGTGCATGCATCTTTTAATTATCTTCTTCCTAGTATATCATATATGAATGTCTTTAGATTGGTAATCGTTTCAGAACTTTTAGTAGACTAAATTCCAGGTCAAGTCTGTATGCTCGAGCTATACTATCCATTTCTAGATCTTTTCTTCAACCTCAATTGCCGAAACAGTTATCTTATATTTGGACCAGGAACATTCCTAGCAATCTTTAATGCAATAAACACCTTGTACATCTCAGGACAGGAATCGCCATGATTTATTTGAATGTTCATGTTGACCAGATGATGGACCTCATCTTCTAATGGCTTATTTACTTTGCTATTTGTTAATTTCATACTACCTAAGTAACTTTGTTATGAACTCTTTTGTCATCTTCTGGCAGTTTCCTTCCTACTTTATTTGTTCTTTCTTTTTTTAAGAAAAGAAAAAGAGAGAAGCTCTCTGATATTTCAAACATTATTGCAGAGCTACATAAGATATACAGTACATCAAAAGCGTGCTGACACAAAGACAGCTCTAAAACATCTTCTCCATAATAGCGGTTGCTCAAAGGTTTCATTCCAGGTAAACATTTCTGGACTCCTGCTTGATGTAGAACCCTGTTCTTATTCAAGATTTGAACTTCAGTCTTCCTGATGTATTGTTTATATTATAGTTATTATTGTGTAGTTAGATTGTGATATAATTTATTGTTGGTTTTTATGCATTTTTGTTTAGAGCTGTCAAAACTTAACCCTAACCTGTAAACCTTCCCAGTTACTGGAATCTGAAGTTGACCTAACTTGATTTGACCATAGAAGTCAACAATCCAAATGAACCTAAAATAGCCTGATTCAGAGATGATTTTGACCTGAATGAACTAAAATTGTAACCTGCATTAAACTGATTTTACTTTAAAATTAAACAATTTGAACCCCAGACAACCTAAGCCTGAACTGAGCGGAACTCGATTTTCTTCCCTAACTGAAGTTACGTGACTCAAACCAAACCCGACTCTCCCGTTTGACACCTATAGTTTTACTCCAATTTTATTTGCTTATTCTAATCTATTAAGGAGTTTTTCAAATATTTTGGAAATAATGGACCAATGATTCAATTTTGGAAATATTTTGACACCTATAGTTTTACTCCAATTTTAGGTGCAAGCCTTGGAATTAGTTTTAGTGTCTTCGTTATTGGCATTTCTGTCATTTATATTTTAATAAAAATTCTTAAGTTTATGGTTCATAGAATATTCCCATAAAGTGTGCATCTAGTGTTGAGGTATAGTAGAAGCTTTTGATTTAAGTTAGGCCTTTGAAAAACTGAGGTTGCAGTTGTTTTTGTGATGAGTGATGGTAAGTTGAATTTTCTTAAAATTCAATGGACTTAATAAGCATGTAAAGCTTGAATTTTTTTTATTTACCAAGAAACGTTTGACTCAAACGTACATAAAGCCAGACTTTTATTATTTACCTGGAAACCATTGGACTCAAATGATATATAAAACCTGAATGCCTTGTATCTTCTGTGTTACAGTGTACCAAAAGATTGAGCTTACATTTTTCATTAGTACCTGAAATTATAATATAAGTTATGCCTTTGTCTTTTATCCAGGATGAAGTTCCAAAATGGAAATTTGAGGGGACAGAAGGCCAGGATTCAGATGGTTCTGATAAGAAGCGGCGGTCAAGGTTTTCTGGACAACATGTTCAGAAATCTAACCACAAAAAAGTTAAAAGTGAGCTTCCTTCTTTTATTGTTTCTCGAAATGAAACTTGAAAAAATGCCTCCTTTATGGGAGAATTTGCTTCTGCATTTGAAAACTTTATTGTCCTTGGTTACATGGCCCAGGAAAGTTAAAAAGAGAGAGTTTCTCTGAGGAATTTGATCATCCTGAGAGAATCTTCCAATCTAAATTTGGGAACAAATGGTATACTTGGTCTTCTGGGGAAGGTCATTCTTTCAAGAATCCAGAATCTGGATTTGAGTGGCGAGAAAAATCAGGCTGGACAAATCAAAGAACGAGAGGGTGGGAGGGTGCTAGTGATGCCGAGTCTGATGAGGATGATGAGCCATATTCTGTAGGATCATGTTCTGATAGAGAAATCCTTGGTTTGCCTCAAACAGGCCCCTTAAAGATTGAAGATGTTAAGAACGCGTATGAACTCGATATTTGAGAGGCCTGTCATCTTGAAGATTAAACATTACGTATTTATGTTTCCCACTTATTCCAGTTCTTTTTCATGCATGTATTCTAAAGTCATTAAAATTGTCGTTGCAGCTTCCGCATATCAGCTTTGAAGTGGCATCCTGATAAGCATCAAGGTCCTTTGCAGGTAGGTTAGAATTTCCAAAAAAGAAAATTATTGGCTGCTCATCCAAATCCAAACAATTTTTTTATGGATTTTAATCTATGGTTTTATCATATACATTTTTTGGGTCTGTCATTGTGTGTGAATTTGTACTTAATTTAGTGGAGCTGTATGCAGGAGATGGGCGAAGAGAAATTTAAGCAGTGCGTGGATGCATACAAATCACTATGCCATGCTCTATCCTAAGTCATGAGGTTTGTGGTGTTCTCTGATGCCGAGTGGTCTCAGAGAAGGATAGGCTAAGAAGAGGTTCATGATTAATTTATTTCTTCTTCAGAGAAGGATAGGCTAAGAAGAGGTGTATATCTTAATTTGTATGGTTTCTTGATTAACTTTCTTGCTTAGAAAAAAGAAGATTTTCTTTACCGTGTAATGTATGAAGATAGAGGGAAAATAATAACCACAAGAGGCTAATCTCAACAAATCAATAGTTATTGATATGGGAAGACTGTTCGATATTTTGAGTGATTAAAAGTTTTTTCTATATCTAAAATAACAAATATCATGAATTTTGATTGAATGTACTATTCGATACATAGGATGCAAGATGATAATGTTAGGTTATCCTGATAATCTAAGTTTATTCTTGTCATATCTACTTGGAGGGTATCCATCAATTGTCTTGTTTCTAGGTTTAGCTTTATTAGTAAACCATTGTATTCATGTTTTTACAAAGTCATCTCATTTAATTTGGACGGAGTTCCGTGTCTTTTAATAAAGTGAAGTACTCCAGTTTAGGTTGTTTATGGTTGAACGGACGAAGCCATCCCTAAATGACTAGTAGAGACCGCTTTATGTTCTCTCTTTAACACTGGAGAGTTTTAAAAGCATCTCATGTTTGAACAAACAAAGACATCTCAAATTATAAGTTGTTTTGTTGTTGTTGGTATGACTAGGTACTTGATTTTTTTTTATTTAAATTAACACTTAAACTTAGGTTTTTTCAATTCAAATTGATTTTAAAAAGTGAATACTAAAAAGTCAAATTCATGTACTAATTGTTTTTTTTAAATAGGCACCAAAATAAACTTTAAAGCTAAGTGCAAGTATCTAATTGGAAAAAAAAAACTTTTAAGTTTCAAACTGAACTTTAAAAACAAGCTTAGGTAGCAAATCATAGATTTACCCTAAACACAAACCTATAAATTAACTAAAGAGAAAATCGCCTCAGTGACCAAAAATGCCTTATAATATACGATTTTAACCAACTTTTTTTGGATTTGCCAAAATGACCAACAAAATCGCAACGCGATCCCCAGAATCGCAAATCAGTTTCCAAAATCGCAACGCGATTCTTGAAAATCGCAATGCGATAGTACAAATTCGCATTGCGATTTTCCAGAATCGCAACGCGAATATGAAAATCGCAACGCGAACACATAAATCGCAACGCGTATCTGTAAATCGCAACGTGTATCCGTAAATCGCAACGCGTATCCGTAAATCGCTGCAAAATGATGTTTGGTTAAGTACCTAGAATTCAATAATTTGCTGTTTGTAGGTTTTAGATGTGTAGAAAGTGTTGTTTGAGCAATTGTTTGATTTCTGCAGGTTAATCTCAGAAGTGAACTGCGTGAAAATGATGTATGACTGCAAAAGTTGATTCAATAGTTTAATTGATTGTTTTTTGATTGTTTAATTGATTTGTAAAAGTTGATTCAATAGTAGATGATTGGAAATAAGAATTATTGCTTATTTTTTGATTGTTTAATTGATTTGTAAAAGATGATTTGTAAAAGTTGATTTGTGTAATTGATGCGAACATAATTCTTATTTGTGCTTGTTTAATTGATTGAAATGTAATGGTTGATTTTGTTGATTTCAATCTGCATTATGTTGAAGGCAAAAATGACTATCGCAATGCGGAAATGAAAATCGCAATGCGAAATGAAAATCGCAACGAGAGAATCACAATGCGAAATGAAAATCGCAATGCGGAAATGAAAATCGCAACGAGAGAATCGCAATGCGATTTTCATTTCGCATTGCGATTTTCATTTCCGCATTGCGATTCTCTCGTTGCGATTTTCATTTCGCATTGCGATTTTCATTTCGCATTGCGATTTTCATTTCCGCATTGCGATTTTCATGTTGGGATTTTCATTTCGCATTGCGATTCTCTCGTTGCGATTGTAATTTCCGTGTTGCGATAGTCAAATGCATGCCTAATAAGTGATAACAACTGAATAACAAGAGTTGGTTAAGTCAAAATGGTTGGCCTGAGTCATTAATTCAACTGAAAATGTTAAAAGTTCACACATAAAATCCACATAATACAACGTTTGCATTTAAAAATCACCTAAGTTAACAGTCCCAAAAGGTGAAGCCAGTTGTGATTGGGATTTTAAAGATGATTGCCTTTTGCTTGACACCATATGAGCTTTGGATTTTGATGAGGATCCATATTTTGGTAGAGGAAAAGATGATTGTGATGGCACTGGTGATCCACATGTCAACCTTGTATGACCACTTTCCTTGCACCGACTACATGTCGATCTCTTCTTCTCTTCACCCTTAGACGGTATACGATCGTGACTTTTTGGTCGGCCAGGTAGCCTTCTGTCCATGGCTGGTGGCAAAACTGTTTGTAAGTCATCTGGTATGTCCCACTCAGAAGGATGTGGAATAGGGTAGACAATCTCGGCATAAGTCTGTCGATAAACTTCTGTAGTTGATTACTACCCGCTACTGACCCAATAATACTACTTCTAGGTTCAACAACATACAATGTAACATCATCTTGTGAAACACGTAGCATTAGAGTTTCATAAGTTAACTTTTGTAAAGACAATTTTAGTTGAAGATTCATGGGTAAAGGCATATATTGTAAAACACCATGAACATTATCCCATGACCCTCCAAAACACATATCTATCCAAACATGATCAACATTAGATGATTTCATGGTTGTAAATTAATTTACTAAACAGACGAGCTGCGAAACTAAAACCTGTTGCCGGATTGGGAAGGATGTCGTTGGATATAGGAACGGATGTCGCCGGAGAGAGTGATAGATGGAGATGGAATGAGTTGCGATTTAGGGATTTAGTTTATGATTTGCTGCTGTTGCGTAGTTATATACCCAAAATTTCAGTGTTGTGATTTACAGATTCTCGTTGCGATTTACGGATTATCGTTGCGATTTACAGATTCTCGTTGCGATTTACGGATTATCGTTGCGATTTACGGATACGCGTTGCGATTTACGGATACGCATTGCGATTTACGGATACGCGTTGCTATTTACGGATACACGTTGCGATTTATGTGTTCGCGTTGCGATTTTCATATTCGCGTTGCGATTCTGGAAAATCGCAATGCGAATTTGTACTATCGCATTGCGATTTTCAAGAATCGCGTTGCGATTTTGGAAACTGATTTGCGATTCTGGGGATCGCGTTGCGATTTTGTTGGTCATTTTGGCAAATCCAAAAAAAGTTGATTAAAATCGTATATTATAAGGCATTTTTGGTCACTGAGGCGATTTTCTCTTAACTAAATGGATAAAGAGATCTGATCCCATCCCAGCTCAACTGGAACTATATACCCCCCATGAATGTGGGCTTCATTTTATTACCAAAGCTCAAAGGAAACAAACCTGGTTTGCTCCAATGTCTCATGCATTCATTTCCAACAAGCTTATCCACACCTCAACCCATCCTCCCCACTTGTTTCCTCGGCTATCCACATCCAAACAAAACATCAAACCTCACACCCTCATCTCAAACATACATCCAATGGTTACGACCAATAGATTCAGCCCCGGTTTTATCACCAAAGTCGCTGATAACAACGCTGGCTTAGTCGGCGAAGATACGCTTTCCCACCTCAAATCTCAACTCTTACAGCAACTCCAAGGTATAACCACGGCCACTTTCATCCCATTCTTTTTTAGCTTAGAATATTGAAAGTGGGTTGTTTTCTTTTGTGTATGTATTCCAAGGAATCAATAGAGGGATTTTCGGAGTAGCATCTTCTAAGAAATCTGATATTGAAGCACTGGTGAAGCTGCTTGAATCCCAGAATCCAACTCCGGATCCTACCCTGAATCTAGAAAAGGTGGAATCATATTTCTTTTTGTGGGAATAAACTGAAGGGTATGTAGTTACAGTTTTGTTTCTATAAATGGAATGAAGGTAGGTGGTTGCTGGAAGCTTGTTTACAGTTCTATTACAATCTTGGGTTCAAAGAGAACAATGCTTGGGTTGAGGGATTTCATCACCCTGGGAGAGTTTTTCCAGACCATTGATATTCAAAAGGTATTACTTGAGAAATTTCAGGTGTATTGTGTTTGTGTATATGAAACTGTGTTTGTAATGGGATTCGGGTTTTACTAACTTTTAGCATTTGGTGATGGGAAAATGGAGAGCAAAGCAGTTAACGTGATAAAATTCAATGCCAGAGGGTTGAAATTGTTGAATGGGAAGCTCACAATCGAAGCTTCCTTCGAGATTGCATCCAAATCCTTTCTTTCTTTCATGAATGCCACAAAATACAAAAAACCATGATCATGATGTTCTTGTTTGGAATTCTGCAGAGAGTGGATATACGTTATGATAATTCAACCATCACTCCTGATCAGGTAAGCTGAGGATATTTATTACACCAAGTGATGTAACATAGTTGATCCTAACTTGAAGCTTTGATTTGTTTGAGAAACCATAGCTGATGAACGTGTTTCCAAAAAATTACGATCTGCTGCTTGGAATCTTCAATCCAGAGGGGTGGCTGGAGATAACGTATCCTTCTACCTAGTGCAGTTCATTAATATTGTAAAACTTGAGAGAGGTGGTTGTTCCTTGAGTTTGAAACTGCAGATATGTAGATGATACGATGAGGATAGGAAGAGATGACAAAGGGAACCTCTTCATTTTACAAAGATCTGAACAAGACAGTCTAGCTCTACACATCAATTTCTGATTTTATGTAGCATCCCATCTATATACATAAGCATCAATGCAGTTGAAGTTGTTGATCTCTAGACTTCAGCTTTCCCAAGGAACATCGCTTGCTGATGATGGCTTAAGTTTCCAATAGCATCATCATCGACTTTGTTAGCCTTTGATTTTGTTGGAGTTTCTCATCTGATCGTGATTGTTGATTAATTAATCTTTTGATTCATTTTCCTAGGAAAAATTACTCTTGTTGTTCTCATTATACAAATGATATTACTAATTTGGTTACAAACAGGTTATTATTTCTCTAAAAGTTACAATTTATTCCATGAACTAAAATAGGCAAAAACATATCAAAGGTCAAAAAAATCAATATAGTCCTCAAACATGACAGATGGATTATAATATCAGTATCGTAAACTGTTACGTTAGTATTGTAACAATCAACGACAAAAACCATTGATTAAATGTCACATTTAGTTTGTTTTATGAGTTGGAAGATTACATTAAGAAAAAAAATATGATGGTTACATTTTTTTTTTCAAAAGTACAGGGACTCTTAACCATTAAAATATTATCACGTTAAAATTGAAACAAAAATATCTATATAATTTTAGTTCCAAAATTTATATATTCTATCATTTTGCCCCGAACTTTAATATTTGATGGATAGCAATGTTCAATTTTAATACAAGTTCAAATACTAATATTCAAATGGTTTGCAGATAAAAAGTAGATTAAAAAACTTTGATAAATTTATAAATTTGAATTCAAATAATTCAAAATTTACAGATATTCCGACCCATTACCATTTCTATATTCAACCATACAATACACTTACAATGTGGAACATGCTGTCATTAAATAACTGTCACTCAGGCCTGGCATACCCATCTTTCAATCATTGGCTTCAATGTCCATAACAATAATTAATCACAACTAAGCTGACATAATTCTCATTCTAACGCATGCATTAAAACAAACCACGTTCTTCACAATTAGGAGAAAAAGGTTCACATCAAGACTTCAAAACCGAGTTCAAATATAATTTCTGCATCAACTTTTAATTTTGTTCATACAACAGCTATTAACATTAATGTTCTAAATTTTAATTTGAATATGAAAATTTGAGAAAAATATAATAAAGAAGCATCACACTCACTCTCCGGCTACAAACATGGTTGAAAGATGCATTGAAAAGATGAAAAGAAAGCACCAATTGTCCTGCCCACCACCACCCCCAGAAGGCCATCATCTCTATCACAGTGACACCAGCGGGATTCACAAGTCATAACAGACAAACGGCTTACATCCATTTCCCCACATAAACCAGACTTTGAGCTCACTTGACACAGGACACGAGAAACCAACTAAACATTAAATGTAACTCACCGTCAAATCACTTGCAGACAACTTAGAAGCACTTCCTGTTGACAATGGATGGACCAGACTCATCATACTCGCCCTTGGAAATCCACATCTGATGCAACAGGTAAAGGAAGAATGTCAGTCTTGGACAGCCAACTTACAGGAAAAGGAAAGCATGAACCAAATATGAGCAAAAATATTTCACCTGCTGGAAGGTGCTGAGTGATGCCAAGATAGATCCTCCAATCCAAACACTGTACTTCCTCTCTGGTGGAGCAACAACCTTGATCTTCATGCTGCTTGGAACAAGGGCAGTGATCTCCTTGCTCATACGGTCTGCAATACCTGGGAACATAGTCGAGCCGCCGCTAAGCACAATGTTGCCATAGAGATCCTTCCTGATATCCACATCACACATCATGATGGAGTTGTAGGTAGTTTCATGGATTCCAGCAGCTTCCATCCCGATGAGAGATGGCTGGAAGTGGACTTCAGGACAGCGAAACCTCTCAGCTCCGATAGTAATGACTTGTCCATCAGGCAACTCATAGTTCTTCTCAACAGAAGAGCTGCTCTTGGCAGTTTCCAGTTCCTGCTCGTAGTCCAGGGCCATATATGCAAGCTTCTCCTTCATGTCACGGACAATTTCCCGTTCAGCAGTGGTGGTGAACATGTAACCTCTCTCAGTAAGAATCTTCATCCATGCATCGGTAAGATCACGGCCATCAAGGTCTAGACGGAGGATGGCATGAGGAAGGGCATACCCCTCATAGATTGGCACAGTGTGAGAAACACCATCACCAGAATCCAGCACATTACCTGTTCCAAGGTCTCAGCTTGATTATTGAATAATCAATAAAAAAAAAGTGTGAAACTCAGTAAGGTCTCTATTTGAACAAACCCGTTGTACGACCACTGGCATACAATGAGAGAACAGCCTGGATAGCAACATACATGGCAGGTACATTGAAGGTCTCAAACATGATCTGAATCATCTTTTCTCTATTGGCTTTGGGATTGAGAGGTGCCTCCGTGAGAAGCAGGATGCTCCTCAGGAGCAACAAGCTCATTGTAGAATGTATGATGCCAGATCTTTTCCATATCATCCCATTTGCTGACAATACCATGCTCAATGGGATATTTCAAAGTAATAATACCTCTTTTAGATTGTGCTTCATCTCCTACATAGGCATCTGACCCATCCCAACCATGACCCCAATGTGTCGGGGTGGACCGACAATACTGGGAAAAACTGCCCTGGGAGCATCATCACCAGCAAAACCAGCCTGCGTGATAAACATAGTCATATCAACCACAACAAAGTAGCAGAATCTCCATAATGAAATAGGCAATAACGGAGAACACAACTCAGGTCTATGAATCAACTAACCTTCACCATTCCGGTTCCATTGTCACAGACGAGGGGTTGAATATCCTCAGTATCGGCCATCTTTTGCAATACTACAAAAATAACTGAGATAGTGAGTATAACAAAATAATTTGTCAACCGGGAATCTAAGGCCCTTCAAATAATCTAAACAATTAAAAATTAAAGTCTTCGGCAAATCAAGTCATGTTTTCTCTTTTAAAAAAGAGCCAGAAACGCTTACGCCAGCATTCATCTCTTCAAATACAGAAAATACACCGTAGTTGCGCAACCAAGTACAATCAATTCAAATGGTAGGCAACATTCATTTCAGGAGCATATAAGCGAGCTATACTCTATGACTCGATGAACAACATATTGAAACAAAGATCAAGATTAGAGGCTTTTCTTACGCTAAAGCTTTGGAGAAGCATTAAATTCACACAATAAAAGCATTAATCTATAATAAAGAACAAATAGGAAGATCAATTTCAAAATAAAGTAAAAAAAAGTTCTCACAAGAACTATAGAAAGCAGATCAAGGCATCAAGCTAACTAGAAAAGTAAAAATCCAGATCCAAAGAGAAGCAGATTAAGCTAACTCGAAGTCTATAAAAACCTTTAGAATTCTAGATCTCAATTCCACCATCGTGAAAACATCAGAATCTACAGATCAGTGTACTTGAAAGTAAAATGAAAGGAAAGATAGCAGATTTATCTGGATAAGAAAAGAATGAGGATGTTCCGAGAAGAAGAAGAAGGAGCAACTAAACGACGACGCTTTTATATTTTTTTTTCTCTCTGCTTCCTGCTGAAGTGGTAGTGCAGACCCAAATGTAGAGAGGGATTGAAAAGAAAGGAAGGCGATATTTATCTACCACATGAGTAGAGTGGCGAATGCGTCATTCGATTGTCATTTGTTTGTCGAATCGATTGATTTTTAATTTGGATCAACCTTTAGATAATGTCAATTCTGGTTGAATTGGTTATAAGTTTAATCAAGTATATATAAAATTATTAATATTCTCAAAAAAAAATGTCTTCTTGTTTGTTAATCTCTTCATTTAATTTTAATTTTAATTCTCAATCGTTCAATATTTTGAATTAAATCATCATTTAGAGATGATAAATCGATAATTTGACACAAATACGATACTATAATGTGTGTTAGAGTTTATTATCAAAATTTTATATTGATCTTGTATGAAAAATTTATCTATTTGATAAAGAAATAATATTTTTATTAAAAAAATATTTTCAATTTTCAATTTAATATTTTTATTAAATTTTAAAAAATATTATATAATTTTATTTGTTAAGTTTTAGACGTAATATAAATAAACTATATATTATTTTTATTACAAATCTAATATTATTTCATTTTTTTAATTATTTTCTATTAATTTTATTATAAATATATTATTTCATTTGTTTTAATTGTTTTCTATTAATTTTATTATAAATCTAATATTTTTATTACAAGTAAGATAAGTAAACTTTATTTGTTACCGTTTTCAATCTTACAATAAGATTATTACTTTTATAATCTCTTATGTAATAACATAAAACATAAGTAAAGTTTCTATTATTTTTATTATAAATCTAATATTTTTATTAGGTTTAGGGGGTCATCTTTGTCCTTGTAATAGATCAAATTTATCATTTTTGTCCCAGTCATATTTTCGCATCAATTTAGGCCTCAAAGTTGTTTAAATGCGTCAGTTTATATCTTAACTCTAACTTAAAACTCTAAATTATAAATCTCGAATTTGAGTTTAGGGTCTAGAGGTTATGTGATTATATTTTACGATTTAAGGTTTTAAGTTAAGCACAGTGTATAGAATGATACAATTGAACAACTTCAAATGTTAAAATGATGTGAAAATATGATAAGGGTGAAAGTGATAAATGAGGTCTACTGTTCAGTTAATCGATCGATGGAATAGACAAAGAGGGGGTGAATTGGCAATAAAAATTTTGGTGGAAGCTTTTGCAGAAAATTGAAAATATTTGCACATCGATTTAGAGTGGTTCTACTTTCTCAACCAAAGTCTACGTCCACTACCTTAGCTATCCACACTAAGGATTTTCCACAAATTCATTAATTTGTCTTTCTTTTGAGGACAAAGAGTAACCTTACAAATCCCTCAAGAATTATACCCCAAATTCTTGATAACACTCTCTCCCAAAGAGAACAATACAAATTTTGCAAACTTACAGGAAAATCCTCACAAGGAAATATGTTTTCACAATTCTAGAACAAAGAAAGAACACTCAAGAATAATACAATTGAGCATAACAAGTGTTCTTGAAAGCAAAAATGAATATTGAATGAAATAGGCTTGAAAATGCTCAAACTTGAGGTTTGATATTTTCTCTTTGATTCTCTCTTGATTCTTGATAATTGTTGTTTTTTATCAATGGCTTCTAAGCTTGTTTAAATACTCCTTGGATCATT